ACCCATAGTCTCTGTCTTCTAGTGATAATACTGCTGTCAGGTAACAGACCCAGGACACACAAAGCTGGAGACTTAGAAAGGTGAAGATTAAAAAGATCATTCACAAGGTTAATGATCCCATCCCACAAATAATCATTTTTCCGGCATCCATACAACATATGAACTAGGGTCCCGGCTTCCTCCTGACATTTCCAGCAGGTGTCATTGTCAGCAACCTTCAACCTGATCCAGTAATTTCTGTGAAGCAACTTGTATTGGATAAGCTGAGGTTGTGCTTCTTGTGAGCAAACATACCATGATGAAGCCAGCTTCTTCCAACTATCCCCTGAAATCTGAATTCCCAGATCCTTCTCCCAGCACTGCCTCAGCCCCTCCAAATTGGGAGAGTGCGCCTCTCTGAAGATCCCGTAGAATTTGGATGCTCTGATTCTATTGATACCAGGAGCTGCAAACACCTCCTGAATACTAGATGGAGGGTCTGGTTTATTGTTCAAAATGGCTTTAATACAGTGTCTAACTTGAAAAAACCTCCAAATTTCCCTTGGATCCAGATTAGATTCTTGTCTGATTTCCGCAAATGATTTCATGCCAGTTTGCCCAAATAAATCCCCCACCTGGTTGATACCTGCCCTAAACCAAGCCTCCCACCTGAACGGTTTCTTACCAATTAATATTTTCTTATTATACCAGATAGAGCCTCTAGAGGTAAGATAGGGGCTAGTGTTGATAAACTGGTGAGCTCTAATCCAGGTCTCTTGTATGAAAGCCAATACTGGATCTTTAAATGGTACTGGTCTTCCCCTCTGGGTGAGGAAGGCCTCTAAAGATGAGGGAGTCACAAGACTTGAGGACAGAGGACAGGGCGGTGAGGACAGAGCTAATCTGAGTTGATGAGTTGAATCTGTTTTTCAACAGACTCAACATTGCCATAAATGCTCACCCTCCTACTGACCCTCCTACTCAGTGTGCAATCCACAGCCACAGCGCTCTCTCTCCCTCCCCCTCCACATGGCACCATAGCTTCGGGTGAAAGTCCTGGCAACCCTCCCCCACCTATCATTTTCACTCATGACCAGGTTCAAAGACAAATGAGAAGATTCCACTCAGGCAAGTTTTCTGGACACATAACTTATTTATTTGAACAGTTTCGGTCGGGTTTCAGAGCTCATCACAGCACAGAAACAGATTTAATGAACTTTACAAATGGACTAATCTCTCTTCTTGTCCTGCTCAGTGCAGCATTCGATACTGTTGACCATAATATTTCATTAGACCATGCTGTAGGTGTTAAAGGCACTGCACTACAGTGGTTTAAAACATATCTATGTACTAGACTCCAATTTGTTCATGTAAAGGAGAGTCCTCTTCACGCGTTTCACAGGGTTCTGCGCTAGGACCAATTCTGTTTACGTTATGCATTCTTCCCTTTGGCAGTTTCATTAAAAGGCATAACATTCATTTTTACTGCAATGCTGATAATACCCAATTTTATCTACCCATGATGCCAGATAACAATGTTTTTTTCTGGATTTTTTTTTCTTTTTTGTTGATTATATTCTGTCTTTCTTAATTTTAACTACCATAAAATTTAGAGAATGTTTTATTTACATTTGACGTAAATAAACACACAAATTACCCCACTGTACCCATGTCTGTCTGTGTATAATCAGAGAACTCTTAGAAGGCAAGAGGATACCCTATCTTCTGTCCAGCTGGACCTCCAGCAGGTGTCTCGGGGGCTTCGTCCTCATCTGGAGGAGCTTGCACAGCTCAGGAAGTCTCTGGATGTTGCCATGCAGGAAGTGTCTGAAGTTGAGGCCCTTAGAGAGCATCTAGGTAACTGAACCTCAGACCTCTTTACCACAGTAAATGTAACAG